CTTTGGTGGATACAATAGATATGTATTTCTTTGATGCTAGAAGTCCCTAATACAAAGTAGTTTGTCTCTAAGAAAAAAAAAAAAAAAAAAAAAAAGCCTGTTCCTTTTTTTTTTTTTTTTTTTTTTTTTTTTTCTCGGAAAGGAATTCCATTTGCGATGAAATGAGTTTCTGTAATTTCTGAATGTACAAAGGCCACTAGAAAGTGAAAAACCAGGACAGGGTCTACTCCCCGGAGGAGGCTGGGTGCAGCGAGAGGCAGGTCTAAGTGCCCGCCGGCCGTTTCCCCGTCTCCCTTCGGCGGGGCAGGGTGGGAGACCCTGGGCACAGGGTCCCGCTGGCTGGTGGCCGGGGCTACTGCAGGGCTCGTGCCCACCCCGCCGCCACCCCCCCGGGGTCTGGGAGTCTCAGGCGTGCCTACGTGTGTCTACACGTGTGTGCTCACGCGCGCCCACGCGCGCCCACGCGCGCCCACGTGCGCCCGCGTCCATCGCCGTGCTGTCCCACTAAGCCCCTCCGGTCCTCCTCCCGCCCCGGACCCCCCCTCACAGCCCACGGATGGAGCCCACCCCCCCGCCGGCTGCGACGCCGGAGCGAGCAACCTCTTGGCGCTCGGTGTCGGCACGTCAAGTCTCACTGGCCCCACCACGAAAGCGACGCTAACTGGTTTAGATCCTTTGGGATCTTGTTTGTTTGTTTGTTTCTGTTTTGCTTTGTTCCGTTTTGCTTTGTTTTGTGTCTCACACTGCGGTAACACGTACCGGTGACGGGAGTGGGTCTCGGTCCGAGAGACACAACAGGGCTCCCCGGCTGGCGTGCCCCCAGCCTCGCACCGCTGCCCTCCGGCACGGCGTGCCCCCTCGCCCCCACACAGGACCCTTGCCTGCCTGCTCGGCACGTCGCCCAGGAGCTGTCGGCCCTCCAACGTCATTTTCTCAGTGAAATCCGGAACAAGAAGAAGAAGAAGAAGAAGAAGAGGAAGAAGAAGAAGAAGAAGAAGAAGAAGAAGAGAGAAGAAGAAGAAGAAGAAGAAGAAGAAGAAGAAGAAGAAGAAGAAGAAGAAGAAGAAGAAGAAGAAGAAGAAGAAGAAGAAGAAGAAGAAGAAGAAGAAGAAGAAGAAGAAGAAGAAGAAGAAGAAGAAGAAGAAGAAGAAGAAGAAGAAGAAGAAGAAGAAGAAGAAGAAGAAGAAGAAGAAGAAGAGGAAGAAGAAGAAGAAGAAGAAGAAGAAGAAGAAGAAGAAGAAGAAGAAGCAGGTTTTCCCAGCGTTTGCTGGGACAGAGTCACAGGCTGGGTCAGCTTAATGCCGTGCTACCCGCCGTGGCCGTGGCCTCACGTGTCGCGGCGGCACACGCGTGAGCACGCGCACACACACGTGCACGGGAAGGAGCACAGCACCGGGGAGGACGCTCGGTCGCAGCCGTGTAGCCGCCAGCAGCAGCCACACCAGTTAAATCCACTACGGGCCACATGGGTACACGAGGCTGCAGATAAGCAAGGCTGCAACACGGCTTCCTCTCTCCTCCGTGCTGAAGTGACGTGTAGAACAGGTAAATTAAAGGAAATAAGAAAAGGAATACAGCCCCCTCAGTTAAGACCGGACACGGCACAGCATTTATCAACAGCAGTCGGCTGCCAGCACCCGGCGCACCGAGAGGACTCGGCCGCGGGGAGCCGAGGAGGGGGGGCAGGTGCCCCAGCACTCACTGTTGTGAGCTCCATGGACCTCCCCTCCTCGGTCAGACAAGCTTTCTTCCAAAAACCACCTCTCAGCCTGTGTTTGTGGGTTTTTTTTTTTGCTTTTTTTTTTTTTTTTTTTTTTGTGTGTGTGTGTTCCTGGCACCGTTTCTTCCCTCGCTGTCTCCTTCCCGAGCGCCTTGCTAAGGCCACCCTGGCGCCTGCGGTCCCAGCGCGGGTCAGAGCACTCTTTGGACATCTCTGCGCCTCTGCATCAACACACGTTCCCCGGCCCTGGAGCACTTTTCCGATCTGACAGCCAACAAACAAAGTTTTCGGTCTGCGGAGCTGGTCCTGAGACATCCTGAGCTCTGCAGTCAGTGGAGCTGCCTAACAATTATGCCTCCGTAATTGAGCCTTCGGACGCAGACACCGAGCAAACTCAATGCCCACAGCGTTTTATATCTTCTTCACAGTCACACTCTTACAGCGTTTGAGGGTTTCCTCAACAAGTCAGTTCATGTAACCCTGGCTCATGGCCTCTGCTGACGTAGCCTTACGGCAGCGTTTCCCCTCTCCATCTCTGAGATTTCACTTCTCAGCCTGTACTTAATGAATTTATTGCTGGGGCGCATACTGCTGGAAAACCCTCCACCTAGCCAAGTGTATTACAAAGTTTAGTGCTGAAACTGCCTAAAGGCACTTTGCGGGGCTGATTCCTGCAAGGGTCTAGTAACGATATGCTGCGCTACGGGGCACCCTGCCTGAGCAAAGGGTAGGCAGGTCACCCCAAACCCCCGAGCTGGTCTTGCTCTCTCACCTCCTTGCAGCTCCAAAGGGTCATTTGCTTCCAGCTTCCACCTCACCCCGTGAAATGGAGGGGCTGCAGGGGAGTGGGCAGCAGCAGGCAGCTCTCCATCATCCCCAGAGGACCACCTTCTGCCAGCAGCACCTTTCAAGGATGCTCCTTGGGGAGGAGGATTCCCGTGATGAAGACTGTGGGTGGAAAGTCCAGACCTCCCAAGGAAAGCAGTTTGTAATCCCCAGGTGAAATACTCTCAGAAAGTATTGTCAAGACGTGTCTTTTCCAGACGTACGGCATGCATACTCAGTGGCCCAACTCTTAACAGCCTTTCTTGCAGTCCCAGCAGATAGGAGTGAGCCATGGCTCCGTGTTTTGGGAGGTGGGCCGGGCGCAGGTGCGTGCAAGGGTGGGTGTTTGGGGTTTCCCCTCCGCGGTTCCAACCGGGACCTGTAGCTGCCCTGCACCCCTGGCTGGCAGGATGGAGCCCACCACCGTGCCCAGCAGCGTGGCTCTGGCCAAGGACCACCCTCAGAGAGTCCTGATGAAAGCCATAAGGCCACCCAGGCCTGAGCACTTCAGGTCACTTCATCCAGCGGCATCCAGGCGTCCTTGGGGGGAAATACACCCGCTGTGCCTTTCCTACGTCCCCGGCCCAACCACGAGTGCCGCCGGCCCGAGCGTGTTAACATCTGCCGAAAGTCTCTTGTTGGGTCTTCTCCAGGCTCCTTGGATGAGCACACGCCACAGGAGCCATGCCACCAGGGAAACAGATAAAAGAAATGTGTTTGCAGGGCAGTAAGCAGAATGGGTGAAGGACCCACACACCGTTGACAGGAGCTGCTCTTCCTTCACTGGGCAGACAGAAAGACTGGTTTCAGCCCTGGTCACCAGGCGGGTGGTGTCTCCACAGCTGGTGTAGCTCAGCTCACCTCTGCTCCAGAGCCACCACCCGCAGCCCCACCACCTGCGGTCAAACCCTCGTTTCTTTTCTCTTCAGCCAAGGCACTGGACGGCCTCATCCCTTCCCGAGCTCACGGAGAAGGTGCGTGTGCTCAGGGCGCAGACAACACACCCCTCGGCGTGGAGTCCCCACACAACCAGCATCCGGGGACAGAAAACGCCCTTCGCAGCTTTGTCACCGGGGTGCAAGTAAGCACGGGGTGCTCAGAAAGGGACGACACCGAAGCAGTGCTTCAGCAGGTTCCCTGTGCAAATTGTCCATGCTGATATTTGTCTTCAGTTAAAAACGGGTGTGCATCAGCTGTTAATTGCTGAAAGATGAAAAGCGGGACTTTTCTCACTAATAAGTTTGTCACAAAACTTATTTCTGGGTTAGGGACACAGTTTGAAGGACTCCAGCCAAGATCCCTGATGGGGTCTGTGACCTTCCCACTGAAATGTCACTGAGCTGGTGGGACCTGGGTGCCTCTGTGGCTTCTGAGGATCTGAACACATCTTCCCTGGAAACTTGGACGTGATGGCTGCATTTCCATCGGGTGAGGAGATGCCACTGGAGTTGGAGAGGGAGCTTCTCAATGGGTCCGTGGCCACTAAGGACACCAGACAGGCAGCACAAGCGATGAGGTGGAGAGGGAGGAGAGAGAGGAGTGTTAACTCAGGAGCTGCCACTTCAGAGAAATGCTCGTACAGCTGGAAGCAAGTATTTGCACTTGAATGTTCATCCACGGGAACGCATCTCGGGTTCAACACCAACAACCCTTCTTCAGCCTCGAGATACACACAGCCAAGAGCCAACAGGACCCCTCCACAGCGCCTGTGCTGCTCTGGGAGGATGAGGTGGTCAGGACAGGAGTAAGGAGCCTACGGCCAGATCTTCATCTCACCAGAGCCAGGGAGCTTCTCCACGGCCCTCAGGAGGAGGGGATGGGGTCGTGCCCATCATCCATACGTGACTGAGGTTGGCTGCTCCTCAGCCTGGGGCAGGGGGAGGCCGCAGGGGGAAATCAACCGTTTTGGATCCATGAAGTGGCGGTGACTGGTGCAGCTCCTCGGCGGGATGTTTGCAGCCACTCTCCTCTCCTCACTGGCCCCAGGAAGTGTCACACGGAAGGGCATGTCACTGTTAGTGCTCCCTCTCCGAGAAGGAGGGAAAAGGGAAGAAACGTGGAATTAAGGGGGCAAAATTTCCCCCCAGGGCGCACTTCTGGACTGCAGCAGCTTGAATTTGAGGTGCCTCTGCTGAAACGCACGGACCCCCCCAAAAAGGAGCGCCTTCCCCTCCGGTTTGCTTCGGAAAGCGCGCGTGGCCGCCCCGTGCTCGGTACGCCCTGCACAGGACGTCCCTTTAACAAAAATCATTACCGCGGGATTTCTCGCCCTTCCTCTCAGGGTGTTCAGAATCGGGTTTTAGCACATTACCTATTGGGATGTACAATAAGGTGTCAACTATTGTTTAGGAATTCCTTCTTGGATGCTGCCTAACTTGAAACCGGAGAACTTGTTTCAGTGCTCATTATGGTGACGAATTAACATAAATGAGTATTAAGCAGTAAAATGTCACCGAACTGCCCATGTCTTTCAGTTGCCCATGTGTTTGATACCAGCATATAGCGTTATCACACACGACTGTCAGATAGGATGCTCTGTACAGAAATAACAGCAGCCTGGAATATAGCCACAATGAGTGTTAACCTGGTTCAAAGTTGCTTAAAGCTTACTGAATTCTTTGAATCAGTGCACCAGTCTCAAAACACATTTTCAGATGCGTTTTGAGTTCATATTTGTACAATGTTGCTGCTTATGCTTAAGCCACTCTTATAGTAGTACAAACAAGCAAGTATTTACAGTGGTGCTTGTGTAAAATTGAGCAGACTGATATTTTCTTTGCCACCAAAAAAATAAAATAAAATAAAATAAAAAAAAAATTGCCTTGAGTCTCACAGCCTGTTTCAGTGTGCAGCAAGAGGAAGCTGCCCCAAGGGGGGCTGCTCACGCCTCTTCCTTATCCCCAGATACAGCCGTGGCACCCGCAGGCGATTAAAGCAGTAGCCAGCCGGCTGCAAAAGACATGAAGCCACTGCGCGTTTTCGATCACACAGAGCGCCAGGAGGACCGCTTCCTCCGGTTCCTTCGTTCAATCCGAGACCCAGCCCACGCGACCGACCGGCACACAACAACAATCAGTGTTCACCCCGCGTTTGAAGAGAGCGAAATCCCGGCGAGCGCGCTGCTGCCGGGTGGGCCGTCGTCGCCTCGGCGGTGGTCCGGGGCGGTGCACGCCGTCAGTGCCGGTCGTAGGCAGCGGCGGCCGCCGGCGGGGCAGCCCCGCGGGCCGCGGCACTGTAGTAGTACGGGGACCCTGCAAGGGAAGAGACGGCCGTGAGGAAGAGGAAGGTGGAAGGGGGGACAGCCGGCGGCGGAGAGCCCTCCGCCCCGGGGAGCTAGAACGAGACCCGCACCCGCATTCCGCCCCTTGCACGCCTGCCGGCCGCCGGGCACCCCGTTCCCTGCCTCCACTCGAAACACCGGCTTCACCCACTTCACCGGAAAAACGAGCCGCTTTTCAGAACAGAAGGCCAACGCCTTTCAGCCCCAACACATCACCACGCGCCGACTTCTCTGGCCTGTTCTCCCCCCCCCCCTCTTTTTGCGAGGAGGAGCAGGTCGAACCCCAAAGCATTCAACACGCTTCACCGGACCCCACAGGGATTCCCTGTTTTTCTCAAACTGCTTCTATCAGGGAATAGCAATCCCCCTGGATTTTGCTTAGCTCTGGCAGTGACTGTGGAGCTCCAGAAACACCGAGCTTGTGCTACCAGACCCCGCTGCACCAGCCTCTGCTTGGACAGGGAGGGTCCTTCGGCACCCAACACATTCGCTGAGCAGAGAAACTGGCTTTAAAAAGCATCAGTGACATTCTCTTTTACTCAGTAATGAACTGCAACTCAGAAAGTAGTTTACAACTGCCTCCAGTGAATAATGCCTCGTCCAATGAAGGGTCTGATGCTCCACATCACAGTTTTTGAAATGAACACTTAACCCTCAAACTGATCGAATTTATGCTCCATTTTTTCACTGAATACATGCGTTACACGTCTGAATGAACTACTTGGGCCAGGCTTAAAGCTTCACAGACTGATCAATGTTGAAGCACTCCTCTACCCAGAAAAGGCCTGAAAAATATTGGTGGTGATTTTCTGCCTTGCGGGTCTAAGCAACACTAGATTCCAGGATCACCTGGAACCTGGACCATTTGCTGGAATGAGGAGGAGTCTTTGACTTCAGATGAACCCAGAGAGATATCAATCTGCCCAGACAGCACCGGCTATTAAAAACTTTCCAAGTGCACCAGCAATGAGACCAGTTCTGATTCAGCATAAGTCAAGAGTCAGGCAAAAAAATATTCAAGGCACTACCAGTTTGGTCTCCAAGTCACCACCGGTTTCACATGCATGAGATGTAAGGCACGCCAGAGTGCGGAGGAAGCCCCTTGGAAGGACTCGCACTCGGACACGGGCATCTGAGACCCCCCCCAGGCAGTTTTGGGCGAGCAACAAAGAGCCAACATGAGGACCGGCTCTGGAGCGAGCTGGGCTGGAGGGTCTGGTTTCACAGGAGACCCCATCCAAGAGGCACCAGGCATCCTGAACTCCCTGCCTTCGCCCCACCTGGGACAGCAGCCCAGCAGACGCGGTCGAGGGTCTTCACAGCCAGGGATGTGGCTTGTTGCAGAGGAGCTGACTTCTGCAGCTCCAGCGAGGCAGAGGAGCTGGCCCCTCCAGGAGAAGGTGGTGCCACCAGACCTCAGTGGGGCCTGTGGAGCCCTCAGCAGAGCGTCAGTGGCAGTGAGGCCCAAGGTGCGTTTCTGGCCATTTGCTTCCCAACCAGATTCTAGCAAACCCTGATCCAGCAGGTCCGAGGGCTGCCCGGCACCTGGGCACAGGCTGAACGTGGCCGTGCCCCGGCTGTTCCACCACCATGGTCCCGACACACCCTCTGGAGCGGGAAGGAGAACCCAGCCGGGTGACAATGGCTGACAGCTCTCTACTGAGCCAAAGAGCGTCCGCCTGGAAGGCTGGAGAACCTCCTGGCCTCCCCTCCTCTTACACAGCCTTCAGCTGAAGGCTTTGCTTTTCAGAACAATTCAGAACAATTTGAGTGATTACTCGAGGGCTGCTGGCTCTGAGCACAGAGCGAGAATCCCACCACCAGCCCCTGAGAGGAAGCCCATGGACATTTACTGTTAACGGTTGGCTCAAGATGGTGGTATAATCGTAACACAGAGGGTTTTCTTCCCCTTCATCCCAAACAGTCCTTGGTGAGAGGCCTGAAGTGCTCTCCAGGGCTGGTGATACAAGCCGTGCTGCCCGAGAGGACACCCTGAGGAGACAGCCCCACCAACTGAAACACCTCCCGGAAGGGTGGGCTCTTCTGCCCTAGCACCCTGCTGTGGATCCACCAGGATCCATCCACGGGCAAGCCCACCTGTTTCTTCGAGGCTGCCTGCATCCCGAGCACCATGTCAGGAATCAGTTCAGGCTCCATCGGCAGCCTCCAGCTGCTCACTTCCAAGGGAGCACAAACCAACGCATCCAAAAAACAGAGCTCGTCCAGCACCTGCTGTTGCGCGGTGCCTGCGACACGCTCCTCGGCGCAGAAAGTAGAAACCTCTTCCTCACGACCAGAGTCCTGCCAAAGCATGTGGCACTCTGCTGCTGCAACCCCAATGGGTCAGAAACGATGGGGTTTGGCTACGGGGACGCGGCATCCGCACCAGTCAGTGCTGCGGCAGCACGGGAGCTTCTACGGCGCGGGGGTCTTGTTGTCCTCAGCACCCCGGACACCCCAACTTAAATAGCATGCAAGCCCACCACAAAGGGCTGCGTTTAAAGAAAATAAACCAAGCTTCAGGACTGCGGTCACAGTTGCTAGAAGGGTAGTCTTACCATTCACAAGAGTAAATCAAGACCGTTTGTGCAATCACTGAGCAAGCTAAGCACCTGCAAGGACGTCTGCAGAGCTTGTAGGCAGGAGCCCATCTCAGCTAGGTTTATTAACTAAAAGGTAAGTATTTTAAGCCACAATCAATGGAGGCAAAGCAGATCCCTTCAAAGGGTCATCATCCCATTTGCAACTGCATAGCACAGAGCCGACAGCCTTGTGTTATCTGCTGAGGGCACCACAGCCACTATCCTGGGACGCTCCTCTTCCAGACAACCAACATCAGATTTAACGAGCCCCAGCCTCAGGAGCCATATTTTGTGGAGGAGAACTCTGGAAAGCTTCACAAGGACTGCGAACACCGTTCTCATGAGTAGCCTAAAATAAACTGCTGTATATCGTGCATCCCAGCCAAACTCAAGCAATTAAAAACATGGAAGCCTTCCTTGGCCAAATGAGGCAGTCTTGAATGAGCAAAGGCAAACCAAACATCTCACCAGACTTTGAAATGTGCATGCCCTGTCTAGCTGGGATTTTGGGGATGTTCTCTGTAGCCAGTGAACTGGGGGGCTGCGCTCTCGGGGGTGCCTGGTTTGACAGGCCATGACCCCTCACAGCCACTCCCGCTGCTTGGGAGTCCTTGGGGACCATCTCCCACCGCAGGGCAGGCAGCACCTCGGGGTGAAACACCTCCAGGGCCGTGAAAAGCTGGGTGGAACTGATGTCCTCTCTCACCGCAGAGCCAGGGCGTCACTGGGGAGCAGGGGCTGGTGGTGCCCAGCTGCCAGGCATGAGCATCAGTGAGGACCGCAGACCCTGCCAGCACCGGCACCGGCTGTGGCAGCTCAGGTCAGCTCGGGCAGAGGGGTGGAAAATCCAGGGAAGGGATCCAGCAGCACCAAACAATTTCACCCTGACCCACGGAGCAATGCGTGGGTCCCACCAGAGCCAGATGCAGCCCCTCCTGAAGTTTTAGGGTAAAAGGGGTCTTCTTGGGGTCTCTTTCCCCCTTCGTCTTCTGCTGCTGCTGTTCGGAGTCAGTGCAGCTACCAAAGCCCAATATTTCTCTCACGCTTTCCAAAGGCCTTACACTTCTCTCAAGTTTGATTTTTTCCAGTTTGCCTTTCAGCAGTGAAATCAAAAAAGCTTGTATTTAAAGTGAAGAATGAAAACATCACATCACAAAGCATTCACTCTTCCTCCCTGTCACCATGCCCCCATCCAGAACAGACTTGTCTGTCCTTCTGTCATCTTTCCTTTCTAATTCATGCTGCCATCAATTTATTTCTTGACACAGTCATTTCTGGCGCCTACTTGTTCTCTAATCTTTTCACAGGAACTCACAGAAGAACTGAATCTAATCCTAATTGACCAGCTCCAAGCCCTGCCCTCGCATGATCCCATGCCAGCACCGACAGCCGCAGTGGTGCCGGCAAATCCCCCCCAGCCAGCTGGCTGGGACCACGTCTGGGGTGGGAGCGGGGACACCGTGTCAAACGAAAGTCCGCCGCGAGCAGCAGCGAGCCGAATGCAACGAGCAAAAATGGTAAAGAAGTTACTGCAACAAGCCAGCATGAAATTGAATCGTTTTTCTTCATTAGACCGTGCTGCCGTCATCCGCCCTCAGCGCCTGCATGCTTGCTTCCCCTGCGCTCCTGCTTCCACATGCATCCCGGCGCCGCACCGCTTGCAGGTCATTTGCAGCGCAGAGGGGAAAGAAAAAAAAAAAAAAAAAAGAAAAGAAAAGGGAAAAAAGCATGCCCCTTTCTCCACCTTCTCTTCCGGCTTTGAAACAGGGAGACCTGCCATGGCCACCGAGCCAGAGGCCACGTGAGTGGCCAGGGTCTGTGTCCTCTTCCCAGTGCATTCCTCTGGAAACGTGGGGTCTGTCCTCAGGCCAGGGAGGGACTGAGGCACCCCCGCAGCACCTGGGCCCCCGCAGAGTTGGGTGTGGGTGCCAGTGGGGCTGACGATGGGACAGGACAGCAGGACGATGCTGCAGAGCTGCAGCAGGTAACTGATGACTACTTCTTTTTCTTCTTCTTCTTTCTCTTCATCTTCTTCCTCTTCCTCTTCCTCTCCTTCCTCTTCCTCTTTTTCCTCTTCTTCCTCTTCCTCTCCTTCTTCTTCTCCTTCTTCTTCTTCTTCCTCTTCTTCATCTTTTCTTCTTCATCTTCATCTCCTTCCTCTTCTTCTTTTTCTTCTTTTTCTTCTTCTTCTCCTTCTTCTCCTTCTTCTTCATCTCCTTCTTCTTCTCCTTCTTCTCCTTCTTCTTCATCTCCTTCTCCTTCTCCTTCTCCTTCTCCTTCTCCTTCTCCTTCTCCTTCTCCTTCTCCTTCTCCTTCTCCTTCTCCTTCTCCTTCTCCTTCTCCTTCTCCTTCTCCTTCTCCTTCTCCTTCTCCTTCTCCTTCTCCTTCTCCTTCTCCTTCTCCTTCTCCTTCTTCTCCTTCTCCTTCCCCTTTTTCTTCTTCCTCTTCCTCTTCTTCCTCTTCCTCTTCTGCCCCTGGTGCTGCTGACCACTCTGGAGCAGCTCAGCTACCTCCGCTTCCACAGGAGCTATGGGGCACGGCGTTCCGGGGTGCCCTGGAGAGGAAGGGGTCACTCCTTTGCATCGGTTCCCGCAGCAGCTGTGGCAGACAGAGGGGGGCTGCCCGGTGCAGAGGAGTGGGGAGCACGGGAGCAAGGGCACCGGGGAGACGGGGGTGGCCGGTGCTCTGCGGGGCCCAGGCGGCCGTTCCCCATCCCCTGCATGCCACGAGCACGGTCCTGCCTTCCCGCAGAGACACCAGCTCACACCTCACTGCCGCTCCACACTCACGGGACAAAGGCTGGGGACCAACCACCAAAGCCTTTTCACCCCTCTCATCTCTCTCTGTTCCTGTTCCCTTTGTTCTCCCAAAAAGACACTTCTGAATCCAAGCATCCTTCCTTCCTGCCACCTGCAAATCACAACATTTCTCCTTTTAGCTCCTCTTTCACCAGTCTCAGCCTGGTGTGATTGCTGCGGTGCAATTCCTCCTTGCCAGCGCAGGGAATTAATTGAACTTAGGTGCTGTTAAGTGCTTACAGTATTACACTTTCATCTTGGTGAAGGGAGCAGGACTTAGTAAAACAAACTGTGTCAGTCCATGTACCAGTCCTGATTAATTTTGTCAAGGTTTCTGCTTTGAGGCTGATACTGCCAGAGCTTGCTCTCAGGAGAGAATTACTAAATGCACTCACGTATACTCCTGAGAAGAGTGGAAGCATCTTGGATATAGTTTAAATTAACCTCCTCTCCACTGCGGGTGCTCAGGCTCGTCACACGGAGCCTGCTGGGTGTGCAGGGGGACTTTCAGCAGGATTTTAAGGCTCTGCCACAGATTCCCATTGCCCTGACACTGGCTTCTGCTACGTGCCTTGCCAAGCCGACTGCCCTTATGTTTTTGGCGATTTTTGGGCAGATGTGCACGAAGTGAAAGGGGATCCCACGGCTCGGCTCACCGGGACCTCGCTGCCCAGCTCTGACACGGTGCCCGCGGGGTGTTCGAGCAGCACGGGCAGGTACAGGCTGCGCCAGCGCTCGAACGGCTCCGCGATTCCCGCAGCAGCGACAGGAACAGAGCGGGGCAGGTACTTCAAAATTACCAGGGATTCCCCCTCCAGGAAACTCCAGCACTCCCAGTTTTGTGACCAGGCTAAGCTGGAATGGAAAATTCATCCTTAGGACTTGCTGCGGAACAAAATTTCCCATTTCTTTTTCTTTTCGATGCATCAAAACTGCAAGTAAGTCGTAAGTCCCAATCAGTGTGTCACTGCACACTCAAAGCAATACAACCTTACTTGCGCAGTGTCTGTGTTTACTGAAACAGAAGATTTTGAAAATATCAAAACGAAGTGTTTAGTAGATGACAAAAACGAAGAAGTCAAGATTATACATTTTAACAACTCCCGCCAGCAAAAAATGCCAGCATCGTTGTCATTATACTGTAGAACATTTCAATTTCAACGCAGCTGCAGTTTCTGGAGGAAAACGGTAGCATCCAAATCTTTTTGCCCTTGCCTCGTTTAAACACATGTTCACAGCATGCCGCTGAGTAAACACTGCTGCAGGAATCCTCGCAGGGCTGAGGCACAAGCCTTGCTGCCGGCAGCACTCCGTCCCTTCAGCTGGGCTCAGGCAGCATGCCGCCCGCGCGGCTGCAAGGCGCGATGGAATTTTCCTCCCAAAATGCATCATCCGACAAGGGAACAAGAAAAAGAACGGGACAGAAGGGGGGTGGGCACCGGTAAAAGCTGTTTTGGCAGCAAGTGGCTGGCTCCTGAGCAGGCTCTGGTTTAAAGTCTTTCCTGACCCAGACCTGCCCATCTCCCCCGGCATCGGGGCACCACGGGGACGTGCCCTGCGCCCTGGCCGGCATGCTCAGAGCCGCCACGGGCCCCCGGCACCTCCAGCGAAGAGCCGAGCAGGTCGTGGGCACAGCCTGCTGCCACCGGGGCCACCGGGCCACTGCTGGGGCCGCCTGGCCACTGCCTGCCCCGCCGGGGTAGCGCGGAGCTTCGGGGGGGCCCCAGCCCAGCTCCACCGCGGGTCCAGTGTGGCACCAGTGCACGCGTCCTCCCCCGCGGGGGCGTGCACCCACAGGCAGCAGCACGACCCGCAGCCCAGGAGCCTCACCAAAATCCCTCTCTCCACAGGCAAGGGCAGGGTTGGGGCCGGGCTTTCGTTTGTTTGTAACGTCATGCCAGTCGCTTTACAGACTTGCAAGCAGAGCTGGAAAAGCCACCCGGGCCCTGGCTTCCCAGGCCTGCCCGGGCAGCAGAGCTTTGCTTCCAGAGGAGTTGCAGAATCAGAAACGAAGAACGCGCGGCGTGCGCTCTTCCCCCCGGCCGGAGCATCTTCCCCGCGTGGCCAAGCCAAAATCCCGCAGGCGCTGCCGGCTGTGGCCATGGAAACTGCGGGTGTAAGCGCAGGGACTCCCCTGGCTTTGTGCAGCTATGCCCATCCATATTAGCTGGAGATCTGTCCGCTGATTTATGATGGAAGCGCTAACAAACCCTTAAATGTGGCACGGCAAATAGCAGCATTATACCAGCACCATGGCACGAGAGGCAGAGGCTGTCTATTGCTCCCCAAGGATTTGTTTAAGGACAAGAACCATGATGAATACAGCCTGGGTGGCTCAATTACATGGGGACTCAATTACTTAAAACAAAGAAACTGGATGAAAAAAGTATGACAAAAATTCAAAATTATTTCGCTGCTGGAGGTCACATATAACAGCCCTGTCATCCATAAATCTGGAAATCTCTAAGGCATGCTACTCCTGTGTTGAGAGATGACAATTAATTGGTATTTTACTTACCTCATCCATGCAAATTATGCAGGGAAAAATTCTAATTACTGCATGCTACATGTATATAAGGTCAAAATGGGCCAGCTTTTGACAGTGGTGTAAAATGGATTGTGTTTATCCTTCACACGAGGGCCACGATCCTGCATGAGCCGTGGGGCTCCTGCCCCCCACCGCTTGTAGGGACCGTGCCAGCGTCCGCGAGGCTGCGCGGGCACGGGGTCCCTCGCAGCGCCGGGATGGGTCGGGCAAGCACGCGACGGGGGGGGCAGGCACAACGGGGGTCGGGGAGACATGCAAAGCGCTCGAACGAGCAAGTGGCGGCAGCCTGGGGAGCGGTGGGGGCTCGCGTTCGGCAGCTCGGCACCCCAGGTTTTTGTCTGAACGGGATTCCTCAAAAAAACAGGGATCCTGCCTTCCGGAAACACCCTGTGTCTCTGGAAGGATTTTATGGGGCAGAAACGGGAAGAAAAGAGGTTTTGGCAGGGGACTTCTTGCTGGCGAAGGGAACCAAGAGCATCTGGGCAGTCCTGCAGGGGGGCCGAGCGCAGGGACTCAGGACCGCACCGGGACACCATCCTGCCCGCCCCAAGGGTGGACGATCGCTGCCGGGTTGCACCGAGCCCCCAGGGTGGGGACGGCAACTTACCGAGGAGTCCAGGGTTGGGAAACCTCCAGGAGTCGTTGTACGTCGAATATTGTGGGTGGCTGTATGGGCTCCCAGAAAACTCGCTCCCTAAGTTAAAGAGAGAAAGAAGGACAAAACCAAATGATTTGATTTGAGGCCGCAGTTACCGTTGCAGGGAAGAGGAGCCGTTCAGTGTGTGCTGTGCTCTGGTGACGGCCTTGGTAAAAGCGCCGCTGGCCACCCTCTCTGAGGAAGGGCAACACGGGTGGGCAAGTTATTAAACAAATGGGCGCAGCCATGTTTTACGCATCCTTTTTGGGCTGCAGCCCAGGCCCGCTGCGCTGGTGGGATTTTCTCAGGCAGCCCGTGCTGCAGGAGCAAGACAGCGAGGAGGGATGGAGAAGAGTCGGGGACAGAGCAACGGGACTGGCTTTCGCCTCTACGGCCCTACAGCACTCGTGGCAAGAAACACAACAGAAGGACAGGGCTGCTCAGCCAGGCTCTCTGCTAGCACGAGGTGATGAATCAGCTAATCTTCTAGTTACTGGGTATCCTTCCAGGAGAACATGGTCTTGGTCCCAGATGTCCGTCCATCACTGCAACCCAAGGAGAGGGGTGCTTGCACCGGTTTCAGATGGCTTTGAAACCCTCCTGACACGAGCCCAGAAATGGCTCAAAGAGTTACTGCTATTTATCTCCTCACCAGCTCCCGCTCTCCCCATCTGTTTGTTCTCTTCACATGTCACCTCCTGCTTCACACTTCGGCTGCAAGCTCTTCAGGACAGAGCCTTGCACCATGGGGCTCTGACCCTGCGCAGGGCACGCGGATCCACCACCACACCAACACCAACACCGCTGCTGGTTTAGGAGGAAATCTTCCACGAATGACAGTTTCCCACCCTCCTCCTCTCCTTCTCCCTCTCCCATACACAGACATGTGCACGCACAACATCGCACGGCAGGAGGAAGAGCAGGTTTCCTACGGCAAGGGGAGACGGCTGCGAGGCTGCAGCAGAAAATGCTCGCTGTGAATTTCACCCGTTCTGGTCCTCGACACTGGTGCAGCCCCCGACCCGTACGCAGGGGCTGCCTCTCCCCAGCCGAGCCGCAGACCCCCAACGCCACGACTCCAGCTCGTATTTTCTGCCAAACTCAGAAGTAACACGGGTTGGCGTCAAAATATAGGGTCAGGCCCAGGGTAGCTTGGTCTCCACGTGATGCTGCTTCAGTAAGAATGAGCTGCCTCTCTGCCTGCAGCAAAGGGCACGGGTAAACGTGACGGCAGCAAGAGCTGCCCACCTCTGGTCCGCTCCAGGGGGGCTCTGCTCGCACCCCCTCCTCCCCCTGTTCCCCACAGCCTCCCCCGACCCATAGGACTGCGCCCACCAGCCCCGGGGCTGCTCTTTGTCAGGGCAACGAGACCAGGTCTGAAGCCAGCAGCAGCCAGCACTCATCACGCCTTGCTGCATTAACTTTGCAAGCTCAGGGCAGGCCTTCATTATCGCCTCTAAGGAATGGCATCAGTTCGCCGCGAGCCATGGAAAACGGAGCTCCTTCCAAACCTTTCTTCCCAGCGAAGTACGTCGTGTCTACACTTCCTCCCCGCTCCTTGCCCTTACGGGTGGCGTCAGTACCCGAAGGTCACCTCCGTCACGGCGCTCGCTCTGACAGGGCGAGGCACGGCGGAGGCGGCAAAGCCAGAGGAGATGCCAGGAGCCACCCGAGGTACCAGGGCGTCTGGCCAAGGTGTCCCCATTGCCCTCCGCCAGCCGGGGAGCAAGCTCGCCTGCGCAGGACACAGCAGCTCCGCTCTGGTCCCTCCTTCTGCCTCCTCACCTGAGGCTGATGCTCAGGCAGAGCCCTCCCTGCTCGCCCCCCCCGCTCCCGAAGCCCCTCGGCTTCCAGCAAGTCTCGGACACAGCTCTGCCCTGATGGTGTGTGCCCGAGCCTGCCAAGCACACGGGCGGCTGCGCCGGGCCTGGCTGAGAGGGAGTTAATTTCCCCGACGGCGGCCCTGGGAGCGCTGTGTGCTGGCAGCCAGGACGGTGCTGATAAGGCAGCAGTGTTTTTTGGCTGAGCAGCGCTGGTGCAGAGCCAAGGCTCTCTCCAACATCCCCCCACCCACCCACCATAACACCAGCAGGCTGGGCAGGCGCAGGGGGGTGTCGGTGGGGGGGAGAGGGTGCTGTGCAGATTTTGGGAGAAGGCACAGCCAGGGGAGCCGAACCAAGCTGGCCAAAGGGATATTCCAGACCGTACGATGTCCGCTCAGCAATAAAACCTGGGGGAAGGGAGGAGAAATGGGGGGCATTCTTTATTTACATTTATCTTCCAGAGGAACCACCACCTCTGCTGAAGCCCTGATTCCCAGGAACCAGCCGGCTGGTGGGAATTAGAGAATAAAATCTGTTTTCCTCTGCTTTTGCGCATGACCCTTGCTTTTGCTTTATTAAACTGCCCTGATCTCGACCCACGAGCCTTTCGTTATGTTCTCTCTCCCCTGTCCAGCTGAGGAGGGGAGCGACAGAGCGGCTTTGGGGGGCACCCGGCATCCAGCCAGGGTCAGCCCACCGCAACCACAAACTGGCTGGTAACTTTATGGGTGAGAGAGACGGTAATTCCCAGCCCCCGAAGGCTCACAGCCAGGTCCCCCTTCCAGCACGTGCTGTGCAAAAAAACCCCTTTATCCCTTGGGAGCCTCTGCTACAGGGAAAGGCTCGCACGCCACCCTCCGCAGCGCTGTCACTCCTTCCTTGGCACAGGGCGGTGAGAAATGCGGGGGCTTCGCCCTGTTCCAGCTGCACCAAGCACGACCACGGGAAAGCCGAGGGGAGCAAGTCCCGCCGCCGCGTCCTCCCCTGGGGCTGCGGGGTGCACAGACAGAGGGACAGGACGGCCGGACAGACCTGTTGGCACGGGGTGTGCGGAGGACCCTGCCCAGCTCCCACACGCACCAGTAACACTTGGAACGAAGCTCCGGGCGAGCTGCCGCCCGCCTGCCAGAGCTGCCCAAGCAGGGCAGGCGAACCCACCCGAGGATGGGACGTTTTTGAGCTGTCCCACAGCTCTCACGCCCGCTGCTCCCCTCTCCCATCCTCCCGAGGCTGCAGGGGCCCGTCCCGTCCCGCGCCCACGCTGTGCACGCTGCCGAGCGGGCTGCGGCGCTTCCTCAAATGCTCATCAGCGCTGCGGCAGGGCTGCGGGTGGGAACGGGCTGACATTTCATTGTTTCATCCTCTCCTGCCTCGCTCTCCTCCCCCCACCATCCCCACTGCCCTCCTCCCCACACTCACACACAGACACACATCGTGGACCCTCTCTGGGGGATGCTCCGGTGCCTGTCAGGCTGAGGCTTCCAATTCTCTGTTTTTTATGCCTCAGTGGTCAGGGTGTCAAGCTCCTGCAGTACAGACCAGCCAGGAGCTCGAGGAGTCACTGAGCACCATCAGCTCGGTGACAGTATTGCTTGCTTCTTAACATACTCTGCATATCCATCAGCCTTGCAGGGAAAAAAAAAAAAAAAAAAAAAAAAAGAGAGAAGCGGGGCAGGAAGGAAAATGAGAGAAAAGAAATACAAGAGAAGGGAGGGGAAAAGGCGAAGTGGGGGAGAAAGTCTCAAGCCCTGCTACTACCATCGCAGCACTTGGGCAGACAAATGGTACAGCCATAAAGTGAAACTAAGCTAGATGAATGAACGCTGCATGAACGCCTCGTGATTTCCACCAGATATTCCAGGGTCCGTCAGCTACACTTCCTGACAGCCCTGCTCAGCGGCCAGCCCTCGCCCCATTCAAAAACACAACAAATCAGTTACCCGGGGCGGGGGGGGGGGGGTGTGGGCCAGGGACGCGCACACGTGTGGCGTGTTGCACGCACGTGCACGGTGTCTGCCCGTGCCGCGGGGAAGGGGCAGCAGCCGGACCCATCCCTCCTTCACCTAAAATGGCAAAGAGGGGGGCCCTTAATAATTCTTCCATCACTGAGACACCAAGACTCCGAAACAAGGGGTTCTGGCAGAGCTTAGCCGACATCGCCACGGTGCTTTATGCGGCTGTAGCCCAAAGAGGGTCAGACCCTTCTGTCACCCCCGGGGGCAGGGGTATGGGGTGGGAGGGAAGAAGAATCCCCAGTAACGCTGCTGCTACAAGCCCCAGGAGATCCACTCCTCCCCGAGCTGGGGGGAGCCCCAAGGGGGGGTGGTGGGTGGACCCTCTGCTGCCAGGCAAAACGGCGTTATCCGTTCCACAGCATCCTCTCGGGGGATTATCAACTCATGCCTACCAAGTCTGTTTGGTTTTTAAGGTTTTCCTGCGAGTTTCCTCTGTGATGTGCAGAGGAACTGAAAAGAGTGAGCTTAAAAAATCTCAAGAACCAAGAGACGAAGGAAGAGATTTCACGGTGTCTTTCCAACTGCCACGGCTTTGGAGAACTGTCGCCGGAGGGGAGAGGGGAGGACGCAGGCACCTCTGTGTGCGGGTGCTGGACTTGGGGCAGGAGGGTGCTGGAGAAGGGAAGAAGGATGGGGCAGATGCTCAAAGCAGGGTCAGCTTTGACATAAGCCGTGTCCGGCCAAGGTGGGGAAATGCTCCAGGGTGGAGAAAGCCTGAGCACTGTCCCCACCACTACCACTGCTCGCTGTGCAGGGCGCCCGGCCGCGGTCCCGCTGGGCAGCACAGCAGTAAGCAAGGTGCTGCCTGAGGCTCGTGTGGCACCGAACACCAGCAGCAACCAGCAGCCTCGTCCGCACGGAGCATGCTTGCCACCCAGCTGCTGGCACCTCTGGGCTGAAATGCCGAATTTGAACAAATCCTCAGCAAAGCAGCTCCAAGTTCAACGCACTGCTCTGGTCCCCAGCGTCTCAGAAGACACCGTGAATCGGTAGCGCCAGGTTCCGCACAGCTCAGCCGCTCCAGCTACGTGAAGGCAGACACGTGCCTGGACACTTTTTGCTGCGATTTCTCAGACAGCAGGTTTCTGCACTTGCATTTGGGATGGGGAGGAGCCGCCAGGGCCACGGGGGTGAACGGTTGTGTCCATATGACGGCCACAGGCGACACAACGTGCCTTCCTCCCCGCGACCGCCACGCGACAGCTCTCCCAACGAGGAC